GTAATGTCTCTGAGACATTTAATTTTGGCATATTGACCATTTTAGATCATGAAATGAGGAAAATGACCAGAAACCTTCTACAAAAGATTTATTACATGTTTTAATGTGGCCCCCAGTCAGATATTACATGTTTTAATGTGGCCCCCAGTCAGATATCACAAAAGTGGGGATAGTAGATATGACAATTTCAGTGCTAGAAAAAGTAAAAATCTGAAAATAGCAAGTCTGTCATATTTTAATTTTTATGCAAAAATATTCTTGGATTGTTTAGTTCATTGAATAAAAACTTTTTCTTGAAAACAAAACTATTATAAAACTGAATAAAACTAATTTTAGAAAAATTATACTTCAGCATTGTCCTAATTCCATAATTTGCAACAATCTATTTTAATCCAAGAGAAAGAGACTTAGCTGGTTGCCTGGGCTACATGCCATTATTTACATATGTACATTTTAGAAAGCAGCTATTGCTTCCACTTAACTAAATCCACTAGCACTTTGGCTTACCAAACACCTGCAATAGACAAATCCATTTCATTATAAAACCAGCACGTTGATGCTTTTTATTATTCATTTTGCAAATGTGGTACTTGACTTTTACATTCTGTCATTATTAATATTATGAGGTAATTAAAAATGATTAGAATAGCCTTTTCAAATCAATATTTTTTGTTTACAAATTTAACACTTTTCTAAGTCTGGATTAAGGCAGATTTAGAGTGTTTAAACATTCCTTCAGCTAGCACACAACAGGATTTCAGATTTAACCTTAATGATAAAAAAAAACAACATATATATATAGAAGTAACTCTCAAATTTAATCTTCTCAGTTCATCTTTGAATCCTAAGACAAAATATTTTTTATGTTACATTCAAATCTAGATTGATGCTTACAAAATCTCATATAATTAATTCTCAGGAAAATAAGATTTTATCAACCTAAAGTAAAAATTTAAAGAGAGTTGCTTTCAAACTATTTAAAATTTCAAGAGAACTGTATTTAAATTAAAGATAAAATTGTTAGAATTATCTGGAGCAGCTCAGATGAAAAGAAAATGGCAACTGACAGTTTAGAATTGATAATGTAACAAAAAGGATGTGCAGTGTGGTGTCATGGATAACAGCCTGGAATGAGAAATCGGAGAGCAGAATTCAAATTCCAGGTGGGTTCGTTACTAGGACTTTTGTGCAAATACCCTTGGGAAACGTATGAATCATCTCTTCCTCCCCAGAGAACTTCTTGATCAATGTCTCAAGTTAGTTCTTATATATTAAGTTTATTAAAATATTTTATTTCTTTTTTGAGATGAATAAAAAAAATCATATATGAATAAATAAAAATATATATATATATATATATATATATATATATATATATATATATAAAAAAAAGAAATGAGAAAAGTTGTGAAAACATGAAGTGTAGTTCTAAAAAGAAAAAAAACAGAAAATAACCAAAATGAACTCATGAAATAATGTGACTAAAAAGAACAAAATATTCCAAACAAACCATATACAACTCAAGTTTGTAATTTTAATTTCATGGAGTGCTTTTGGGATTTTAGTATTTTTACTATCAAATGCTAGATGGGAAAATATTATTATTATTTTGCCTTTAACCCTAGAAGAAGTTGTTGGTGCACCAATGTGCTGAACTGTCCACCATTCTCCTACATCTGTCACAGTTGCGCACCAGAGCCTGGGTCTCCACAAATAGTTTCTTGGTGTGTTCATCATATAATGTATCATTGGCCTTTTAACCTGGCGGAACCCATCCCTCTCCAGGGCAAACATACTTGTACACATAAAATTAATATTATTTTTCAATTGTTTGATTTTATGGGAGCTCTCAGTCAAATACTTGTTATAAAATAAAACTGAGTATAACATGCTTTATAAATATTATAGAGCAGCATTCTGACTGAGAATGTCAGTCACTTCAGCATGTTTAAACTTTTGATCCATGTGTATTTTTGTCATCAACAGAGCACTTAGCAAAGTAAAAACCTGATGAGAGACAACTTACTTGGAACTTACAGTATGGCAGATTTTATTATGCAAATCACCATAAGCACAGTAGAATCATCATTAACCAACTGATGTTGCTAAAATACTCAAGATGTACTTATATAATAAATAGACCATTTGAATTTCAGCATATAACATTTATTTTTAAAAGAAATATTTCCACTATCTTATTTCATGGTATGAGATATTATTATGCAACTTTGCATATTGTAAATAAATATCTATAATAGCAGATTTATCCATTTTTTAATTTCCAATATATAAAAATTGCCATGGGGCATATGAAAGATAAAGCCTCAAAAAAGAAACATGATATTTTAAAATTATTGACATGAATACAACTTTGGAAATCATAGAACAATCCAAAAAGAAGTTAAAAATGTTTGTAAAATAAGAAAATATGAGTTTAATTTTTTTGTGAAAACGGATTTGAGAAACATTAAAAGAATTTGAAAAAGTATCATATCTATCTCAAGTAATAGAAAAAATTAATTTATATGAATAATCTGTAACCTTTACTGGAAACAAACAGCATGTGTGAGAATAGTGGGATGAGTGAATACACAAGAATAGAAAGGTGAGTAAGAAAAGAAGATTTATTTTGTCACTGGATTTATTTAACATATCCAACAAGACAATCCTAAGAGAACAAGAAGACCTACCAGGATTTATTATCAATGAAAATAATCTTAATAATATAAGACATGCAGCTGACAGATCCAGAATGAAAAGTGAAAGAATATTATAAATAATGTAGTAAAGGAAAACAAGAAGAAAGGACTAACTATTAACTGTAAGAAGACAGAATGTATGGTCATCAGCAAGAGAGGTATCCAAAAGGTATGAATTGGAGATGTCACAAAAAAGTAGGTAGAGAAATTTAACTATCTGAGTAATGTAGTAAAAGATAATAGAAAATGTGTTATAAAAATCTGAATGGACATAAGATACTTTCCAGAAACTAAGTGAAGTATTTAGACATTTTTAGAATGGTACATGGGACAACCAAGAAGCTTTAAGTTAAAGCATATATCCATGCAAGACAATAGTCTTTCATGTCTTACAAAGCTGACTATTTGCCAATTAAGTTTCAAAAACACCAAATTAAGAGGATAGACTCTTCAGATATTAATCTAATGGAATGCCTGTAATCCATCATTTAAATAGATGTATATGAAAATTGAAAAGAAAATAATCTCTTTGAATCAATATTTACTGCTGCAAGTTATGTTAAAGTTAAAACAATAAACAAATTGACAAAATGGATGAATGTAAGACTCATGAAGCTTATAGAATGTCAAAAAGTCCATATTAACATGTTAAATAATAATTTACTCAAGTATATGGGATAATATATTACTCCCTACATGTTCCTACAGGTTCTATCTTTTAGGTTTATTTATAAATAAAAGTTTGTTGTCTTTGTTAATATAATAGAATATTATATATCTATACAGTGGTGAATCTATTATGAAACTAATGAAGCTTAAGCTTCAGGACTCCAAATCCCAGAGGGGCTCTGAAGCTAATTTTTTTAATGAGTGAATTTTTCAACAAAATCTATGCTTTTTTTTTTTTTTTGCTTTTTTAAGTGTTTGATAAAATAAGGCCATTTTAGTAATAGAATCATAAGCCAATGGGCTAAAGTACCTAATGTTGGCCTTAGAATATACTCCAATACCAATTTCATATTATAGCATCAAAATTTCCCTGTAATTGGTCAAATTTCAAAATTTTCTTGAGAACTTGCAGTATCTGAATCTCCAGCTGAATGGGCTTGTTGAGCTCACCAGAATTCTATTCATCATAGCCTACATTTTGGCAGGTGAAGGGACCCTCATATCTGTTCAAGCTTCAATAAAATGCAGGTCCATCATTGCCTTCATAATAAATTATTTTCAATAACAATATATATTAAAAACTCAAAGTCACACAATATATTACTCATATAAATATATCATGAAAATTCTACAAATAATGGTTATTATGAAAACATTGATTTGCATGATAAAATAAGACACAGGAGATATAAAGTGATGTCTGATTATATAGGTTTTTGTTAAACAAATTAGATGAAATTATTGTCTTCTTTTGTAAAATCACATTCATTTATTGTATAATCCTTGGATAACCCTCAGCAGGGTTTTGGGAAATTTATATATCTTTTTTTCAGAAGATTAAAATAAGACATCAGTCCAAACTTCATGCCTATGACCACTGACCTGTGAACAATAAGTAGAAATTCACTTTTTCTTCTTTGAAATAATTCTGAATGTTATTTCTGAGTATGAAAAATTATTTGATAAACTATATTATCAGCACTTTGTAGCTGAATCATAATGGGGAAAGAAATCTTGGAAGAATAGAACAATAATGATGATGATAATAATGATAGTTGCATAGTTTCACAAATTAGACTTTAGAATTTTTTTTTTGCAGAATGAGTCATTTGTGCCTGTAGAACATAATTAGTGTTTGTTTTCCATTTGTTAGTATAAAACACATGTCTTTGAGCTTCATGAACACCTCAAAGACATAGGCGGTTCATATATTATTGAAATAGTAAAAATGAAAAATCGATAAAAGGATTTTATACATACTGAAAGGACATCTCTCTATGCTTCCATTTCATTTGAAGATTCTAAGTATATTAACCTGATTCATTATGAACATATACATGAAACTTTTATGCAGTTGCACTCAAAGTTACATAGCGAACAAAGAGCTCACTCATACATTCTACAAACTAATGGAATCTCGATTTATTCACTTAAGTTGGGAGATGACTGTAGAAACTTGACTAATTCAAACTTTAAAATATATCTATTCTGTTGGATTTTTAAAGAAGAGGAGTCATTATTTACATTCAGACTAATATACTCATTTTTGTTATTATCACCTGATCACCTTCCATCTGAATTTCTGGGAAGAGGAGTTATTATTTATATTCAGACAAATGTCCTTATCTTTACCGGCCATATCACATTGAAACGCCAGTTCTCAGACAATCACTGAAGTTAAACAACATTGAGGCTGGTCAGTACCTAGATGGGTGACTGTTTGGGAATACCAGGTGTTGTAAACTTGGACGTGTGGGTGGTGTAATGAATAATGTTTTGGAATTGGAAATCAGACAGCAGAGTTCTAATTCCAGTCAGGTTCATTTTATTCACTTATGTGTAAATACTCTTGGGAAAGATAGGAATCCACCTCTTCTCCCTCTTAGCTATGGGTTAATTATTGGGATGTGTCAGTAAATCATTATTATCTTCAAAGAAATTCTTTCAATTTAATAATAGTTTCTGACTTTAAATAACCTGCAAAAGGTTGATGAGCTGTATAAAAACAAATCCCTCACTCAACTTTGTTGTCATGATTACAAGGTTTTGGCTGTTTTGCTTTCCATCTTTCTTCAGGTGTCTGTTTGTCAGTCAGGGAATTCAAACTAAATGCTTTATTTAATCTATAGAAGCAGATTGTTTTCATTCCACTATCCATGTCTAGTGATATCATGTCTTTTTCTTATTTAGTTTTGCTCACTCATTGCTTACCCTGTTTCCACTATGTCACTACTACCTAGCCCAAGGATTGAATTATTATGTAACCAAATTCATGAACCACCACTTTAATTGATTAGGCTATTTTCATTTCTGAACCTAGAACGTGGAGCCTTAAACCTAATATTCCCCTTTCTGGCCTACAGCTGATGTTTTTGTTGTTAGTGCTACCATGCTTGACTGCATTTATCACACTTTTCTTATTGCTGCCTCTGCTAGAGTCGAGCTGTCATTTTTCATTCTTCATTATTCCGACATGGTATTTATAGCTATTCTAGTTTATTTTCATTTTATTTTTCTATGTTCTTGAATACATTTCTAATATGATATAAACTGTTTTGTATTGCTTATTTTTCCCTATCATCATAATGGCTACAGTATAGGTCACCATACTTTTCTATCATCAATTATGTGTGGAGAATTACAAGACGCCAAATTAAAACTAAACACTGATTTGAGCATGAAAGAAGTAACATAAAAAAATCTTTGATTTCCTTATCTCAATATAATCAAATTATAAGGTCATTATAAAACCAAATCACAACATCATATATATATATATATATATATATATATATATATATATATATATATATTCAGACTATTGTCCTCATCTTTGTTGTTTTTATCAGGTTCAGCCACTGTGTCCTCTGGCCTTCTTCAGATGTATATTGATCTGGGTAACCTACAGGGAATTCTGAACTGAACCCTTTATTTTATCTACAAGAGTAGACTGTTCTCATTTCATTGCTCATGTCTAGGAATATTCATTAGTTCTTATTTTTATTTAGTACTGTTCCATTATTGCTCCCCCATTTCCATTAAGTGCAAATACACACCGCCCAACTTGGGTATTGAACTTGCAACCACTATGTCACCAAATTCACAAAACAAATGCTTTGACCCATTAAGCCATTGTCCATTTGGTGATATAATGGTTGTGAGTTCAATGTCTGGGAAACCTGTTTAGGATCAGGTTTCTGGTTCTTTCTGAAATTATTTCATTCTCTTTCACTCTCATTAACCCCTTGTGTCTTAGTGACAATGTTGCCTTGCTTGGGGTGAATTGATTAAAAAAAAAAACTCATGCCATCTAGATGATAAAAACACTTAATTAACCCATGCTTATATCCATTTAATATAACTATTCAACTTTAAAGCAATAACAAAATGAAATTGCTTTCATTTAATCACCACAGAGAACCTTTTTTACTTGCCATCACCATGGCTGATGCTAAACTTCTTGGGCTCATGTTTTCCACTGACATGAAGTGAAGTGACTAAATTGAATCAAATGATACATCTACTGCAATGAAAGTTGGTTTACTGTGTCATGCCAGGAAATTTTCTTTGTTAAAATCCCTCTTGCACATTTACAAATCCATCATTTGATTTTGCATTGAACATTGCTGCCATATCTGGTCTGGTGCTGCTGCTGTATATCTTGAGATTCTTGACAAAATCCAAAGAAGGGTCTGTAGTTTAATCAATCCTTACCAGGTATCTCGATTTCAGTCACTTTCTCAAAGCCATAACTTGGCTTTACTCTGTCTTTCCTAGAAAATATTTTCATGGTAACTGTTGTGATGAGCATTTCTCCCAAGTGTCTTGACTACATTAATTTAAGCATACTACTAGATTGGCAACTAGGTCTCACTTTTGTAATAGCTAGATTCAACTGGCTCTTCTATTTTAACAGTTTCTTTTCTTGTACTTCTCACCTGTGGAACACTTTTCTGATTTCTTGCTTCTCTGCCTTCTTCAAAAATTTAAATGCAATGTCAATCAAAATCTTCTATCTTCCTGAACCCTGTTTCTTTGTGGTCCTTTCCTCCCTTCTTCTTACTAAAATCTTCTCATTCTCCTTCACATTCTGTAATCTCTGACATCCTAGTGGCATTATTGCCTTGCATGTGTTGAAACAATTAAAACAAAATATAGAATAAGATTCTTAAATGATTTCCTATTATATCCAGAATTAACATTGCTTAATTATTGATGTTAATTTGAAACCATGTCTAATGACATATGACTATTCTAAAAATGTATGCATTTCAGTTAATTTGATAAAAACTTGTTTTGATAGTTTGATGCTTGTCATTTTTTAAATGGTTGGTTTCATTTGAAGCCTCAGCTTAGATGTCATGAATCGGGTTAAGAATTTTATATGTATTTTTTTAAATGCCATGGATGGAAGCAATCACAGCTCTCCACAGATTCCGTTTCTTTATTAACTGTGATTTTTCATAACTTCTTGGGAAAAATAGTTGAGTAGTTTTTCAATATCACCTTCTACACAGTTTTAAATTCAGAGTTTTCCAGTTATTAGACTGGCTGCCACAAGGGTAGAGAGCCCAGTCTACTCTGGTATTTAACCCACAGTTGTGAGGAGAAGAAATGGATTCATGCCTTTCCAAAGACATTTGTGCAAAACTGAATGCAACAGACTAAGCCAGAACTGGAATGAATTCTATTTCTACCGTAAGTGTTCTCTTATAAAATCTTAAATTCTAAAGGCTGTAAATATCAACAGTGTCTGCAAACAGATTCTGACATTTTAGCATGGATCAATTTAACTATGGTTTTTTTAAAAACTGCTATAAAATACTTTTAGAAATGGTGATCCATTATTGCCAAAGTCATTTGTTTGTTCATTCATTCATCCTCTCTCAGTTGAGGCATTTTAAGATCAGATCTTATTTGATATGAATCCCACTTGATCTTTTGATTTAAACCTGTCAACTGAGGTCAGATCATTGCTGGATCTTGGCAACTGTAAAGTATAATACACATTTAAAATAAATCAGTTTCATAGATACTTTGGTATTGGAACTAAAAATAAGTTCCTGGTCTGATAGCTGCTATTAGAATGAGACTGCTAAAAAAAATTCTTTCAAAACCAAATTTAATTAATAGCTAGTATGAATTTAATTTTATTCCAATTCTCTTACAGAACAAAAAAGGAAGAAAATTTAACATTAAACAAGATTTTTTTTATTAAAAAGTATATACGAAATAAATAAATTAATTTGATATTTTAATAATGTATTTTAAAACAGTTGATTATGGGACAGTCTCCTTCCAAATGAAAAAAAGACTATAAGAAACAGAAATGTGCTTCTACAGAAAGATGCTGAGAATATCATGGACTGAACATTTGAGCAACAATTAAATTTTAGAGAAAATGTGAGCAAAAAAGACACTTATAATTAACGTCAGAAAAATTAGAACTTTCTAGGGTACATAATGAGGAAAGAGGGCTTGGAAAATTTGATACTTACAGGAGAGATTGAAGACAAGAGGGTCAGAGGAAAAAAATATATAATCTACCTTGCAAAACTAAGTAAATGGTTTAGGAGAGATAACAAAAAGGCAAAATTTATTAAGAGTTACAAAGCACAGGAAATTGTGGAGAGCCATGATTATCAATGTCCTGAAAGCACATGGCACATAGAAGAAGCAGCCTCATTCTATCTGAGCAGAAACAAGTCAGTAACCTTTTAAGTATAAACCATATTGATATATTTTGTAGTTTCATGGATTTCTCTTTCAGTCATTTAATTGTTGTTATTCGATGATCATAAAATTTTAAGTTCTTATGCAGAAAAACTCGTGAAAAATTTTAATTAAGAAAAAAATACAGTTATGATCATTTAAAACATTATCTTGAAATTCATACAAAAAATTCTCATCAGCTAATTATGGAATAAACCCTATTTTCAGAAAAAAACATCCACAAATTAGAGATTTGTTACTATTTCTTTACCTTTTTTGTCAGCTCTGGACTTAAGGGTAATTAATTCAATATTATCAAAGTTAATTCAAAGAACTTTCATTCCAGTAAATGAGTAACTTGTAAAATCTGTGATTAATTTTAAATTGTTATTTAAATAAAGATACAAAAAAGTCAGTTTTAGCAGACAACACTATTTTTGAGATAAGCTAGAAATAATGAGTTATTTATAATGATTAAGTTATCCTTTTCAGTATCATTCTAAAAAGGTTTAAATTGACAAGCACCTTATTGCATGATTTTTTTTCATCCCCAAACTTATTTCTATATGAACAATATAGACAATATTGTTATGCAAAGACTTTATGAAGTTCAACCCCAATTTTAAAAAATTGGATTATGCAAAAAAGAGCATATGTTGCATCAGGCATTTTCAAAATCATTTTTGCAATTTTTTTTTTTTTAGTAGTTATAGTTTACTTTGACTCAAGGCTACACAAACCTGAAGTTTGTTGGTTTTTATAGCTTATCAACACTGTGGGCTATTTAAAGTCAAAACATATTTCAGATTTAAGAATAATACTTTTTTTTTTGCACATGAATATTGCATTAACAATATTTTTTAGGATAACAATGATTTTTCCAGATACAAATCCTACTATTTAACTCATAGCTGAGGGAGATGGATTCATACCTTTCCCTAGACTATTTGCCCATAAATGGCTATGACAAACCCAGCTGGAATTTCAATTCATCTCTCTGATTTCTCATTCTGAGCTGCTATCTATTATG